GACCTTACGGCTTATTATTGACACGTTGTTCCTAATGAGATTTTATCTGATCTTATGGCCGGCCTCCATGCAAGGAGAAAAAGAGAGAAGAACTGTAACGTTTCCCCGAAACCGGATACTACATGGTCTGCATGTATGTTATTTACCAGCTAAGAGGTCCATATAGTGAAAGACTGTGACCGACGTCTTGAAAATGCTACCCGAGGCCGCAGTTTTTCACTATACGAGGTCAAGTTTTTCACTATGCAGACTGACCTTAGGCCGGAAAATAGCATATCTATTTTCTCCTCTCTCTCTCTCGAATCACTTTTATAATTGTTGACCTTTTCCACACACAACAGCATCGTAGGAAAATCCGGGCCGCACTAAGAACCAATCAGATTGCAGGATTCGTTACCGTGCCCTCTTAGAAAAAATAAATGTGGATATTACATCACAAACATAAGCACAAGACATACTACCATGCAGAAGGCCGGAAAGACAAGTGTCGGACTGGGAAATTCAATTGTGTTAATCATTTTCTTTTTACTTTATCGCAGTTGATTCTCGTGGATAGAAGCGAAAGAGGTCATTACTTGATGGAACTTATTACAGAGAAACAGAAAAGGGATTCAAACAATAACATATGGTCAGATGAACCCAGTGATTTCGTGGCTGTACTGCAGCTAGAGGACCCCCAAGGTATCGAAACGCTCTTGTACACTGTTAAACGTTTTCGAGAACAAATTTAAAAACGTGTTAGCAGACAATAGATATTTAACATTCTTTTTCCTTCCTTTCAGGTCTTAACCCGGTAGACGGCAAAAAGGACTCACTAATAAGAAAGGTATATTCAACAAGAAAACATTCAAATATCCCAAACACATTAAGATGATTGCATCAAACTAGTATGGAGAAGTTTTCAGAGAGGGCGCACATTTATTTCCATTAGTAGTTTTTCTTTCGGAATCGAGGCTAACAACAGAGATCGTGACATTTTACAAGACAGACAGATTGGAGTCAACAGATTTTTAACGTTAATTTATTATTTTTTGGCAGCCAATGGGTAGCCGCAAGTCCAAATCACCAGTGCAGTGCTTCCGAAGAGCCACGCCCGAGAAAGGCATGACATACAAACCAACCCTGTACCTAAAGGCTCTTTCAGTTCTGGACCACTCGTCACGAATCCTGGCCGAGCAACTTACACTTATACAGCAGGTAAAAGACTGCTCAATTTTGACAGAGTACATTACAAAGTTAACCAGAGTTCCAAGGTATTATATTGTTGCACGCCATGACATCTCTCTTTCATCCCTCCCTGAGCGCCTACCACGTGGCGTTTTACCAAGACCTCCAGGTGACATGTATACTCAATAAATATTGAAAACACAGGCATCTTTTAAAAGGGTGTTTTTCATGAACGTTTTTTCAAAAAACCGGAGTGGGCGTTCCCTCTAGAAAACAGCTTTCAGGTTATTGGAAACGCGCAAAGAAGTACCAGTTCTGGAAAATCGTCTTCCAAAACGTACTTGGATAATTGCCATTCATTTAATAGGCAGATGGGAGGGAAACTTGAACGTTTTTACTCTGGCCTTGCCTTACAAGATGCCATCTTTGTTCAGTTCATTCTCACTTAATTCACTCGACCCCAAAAGACACTTGAATACACTTCACTGAGTCATATATCTTTTATTCTGTTCCAGGACTTGTTCTTTCACATTCACCCTGTACATTTCCTAAACTCTCGTGCGCATGGCATTGGTGTTGGTCGGAGCCAGTCCCCCAGCAGAGAACGCGACAGCATCTTTGGCTTCAGTACCGGGAGTCGGCGCGTCTCGGAGCTACCCGCCAGTTCCGGGGAGGTACCCCTCCCTTGGGAGCAAAATATGTACGTCAGCGAGCCCAGCACCGATGGCCATCTGGAAAACCTCTTGGAACATGCGCAAGACGTGTCCTTGTGGGTGGCTGTTGAGATCTGCAGTGCGTCTTCAATAAAGGTAATTATATTTGGGCAAGAGATTATGATCCTATTCTCTTGATATGGGTTATTGACCAGGCGTGAGGTAAAGATGGCTGGAAAATGGCCAAGTTCTTTTTTTGGCGTGTTTATGGACTGAGAAGGACTCTAGGTCCATAAACATGCATAAAAAGGAACGAGGCCAATATCCAGCCATCTTTACCAAGCAAGCTTTGTCAATAAAGGATTTATTATTTGGAAAAGAACACAATTTTCTTGCGAGACACAGCGGGTAATCCCTAGCAGGCAAGATAACCTCATCTTGCCCGCTCGGGTAGCCAATCACAGCGCAGGATTCGGTTCATCTTGCCCGCTCACGGAGCAAGCCATATAATTAGACTATTTACTGCAATATGTGTCACGTAATCCATAAAGTAATCGAATGCCAGATGATATAGTTGCAAACAAATCTTTCTGTACCGTTGTGTTGTAGGCTCAACTTGCCCTCATCACCAAGTTTGTGAATGCTGCGCGTTACTGCTGTGAGATTCGTAACTACAGCACGTGTTTCCAAATCGTTGACGCCCTGGAAATGTTTGTCATCAGACAGTTACCGGTAGGTTACCCAATCATTGATAGTTGTTGCTTTGTAGCTGTGGTATCATTGGATGTAATTTGCGCTGTTATTGGTAGTTTACTTGGTCACGTGGTATTGGCAATTCAAACGTGGTTGCTGCGGGATAGAATGGAGTTTGGTTGAATAACGTTCAACAATTTGTAAAAGAGTTCAACACATTTGTTTTTTGTCTTAATCTGTTAAATATTTATTTGTAGTGATATTTGTGACGTCTTGGAATAAGTTATCAGCCCCCTAGTTGCGCCCTTTAATCTCTTAGGCAAACATATATTAAAATGTCTCTAAATAATAATAAGAAACACATTTATACAAATAACATATTAATTGCTCGGTAGGTTTGGAAACAGGTTCCCACAAAAACAGCGGAAGCATTGGAAGAACTTAAGGCCGTCAAGGTAAGTTTTAACCCTGACAAACCTAATGCCTTTTGTAAGATATCTATAAAGAAATGCGCAGTTCGCTTTGGCAACAAATGATCTAGTTCTATCTAAACCACCGTAAAAAATTTCAATCAGTTGTGTTGTCCTCTATTTCAGGTTTTGCTGAAGACAGACAGCTCGTGGTTGATGAAGAGTGAAGCGTCACGTGACAAACCCACAATTCCTTGTTTCCTTTTGTTTGTTATTCACGTTCAACAGCAGGAGCTTGGAGGGTTCACATTACCTAACGACATGTTCAAGTGGACAAAGATGAGGTAAAGAGACAAGTGCCTTACAATGTTTGACCATTCACGAAAAAACCTTACATGGATTTGTCGAATGAACATGACGTGAACTCACACGAATTCTCTTGAACAGTTCTGTAAGGAAATCTCGTTTCTCAAGGACTTTGAAGAAATCTTAAGGTTTTCCTGTATTGCCATCCATTTTCCTCCTCGCAATCTTTAGTCCTTATCACCTCTGGGTCAGACCATTATTGTTGGGTGTCCTGTGACCACTGTCATGCGTCTTGAGCTTTCCCAAGTTGTATCACAAAGAGGTGAAAATTTCCCTTTCAATTCTCACTTTATGTATACAGCTTTCTCTATAACGGTAGCGAACAGTTATGAAACTGCTGTTTTAAAATAGCCAGTTTGAGTTAGTGGGTTTTTATATGTCTTTAGAGCAACTATGAAATTTGCACTGAATGACCCTGTCAAGGGAACTGTCATAGGCCAATGTGACAGAAAACTACAATAACCCACGTCTTGGTTTTGACAACTTTTCCCACCTTTTCATGTCGCTCACCTCTTGTGAAAATAGCTCTAGCGAAAATACGGTAGCTTAATTCATTCTGTACTTAAGAAAGAGGAACATGACTTCCTTTGATGATTGCACTCTAACCGGCGACATGTCATACCAAACACCCGCCTTTTTAAGCTAGATTGTTGTTTCTGATATTTTAACAAGTAGGAGACTTATTACTTAGCCTGCGAATGCAGACGTATTTCCGGCTGTCGCTTGTCTCCACCGAAAATAACGTCTGCGAACCCGAGCCAGGAAACGATTTCTGTGACGTAATGACTTTTGTTTCTCCTTGGCCAATCAGATTCCACGATAAAATGAAACTCGAGTGCTCCTGGCAGCGAATACCTCGCGCAGTAGTTCTGGGGCTACTTGAGCTAAACTGTGATTGGCTTAAAATTCCTACGTCAGAGAAATCGTTTCCTGGCTCGGGTTCGCAGACGTTATTTTTCGGAGGAGACGAGCGAGAGCCAGAAATACGTCTGCGTTCGCAGGCTACTGATTACTCAACTTGTTTTTGTTTCAATTACAGATCAGCGGCTCGTTTAGTGGACCAGATACGCTTGTTTAAACAGATGCGTTATGCCTTCCAAACAGACGACGAATTGAAGGACAGACTGAAACAGCGTATACACGAGTGCAAAAAGGAAAACCTCCACGCCCTAGCTTCTGAGAATGCAAGCAACTTTCATTTATCATCTTCACATGGCTCTAGGAAATTCCATGATGCCTTTAAGAAGATGAAAGCGACATTCGGCAGCCATAATTAGTCCTGTTTACGACTTGGTCATCTGTAATTTTCAAAAAGTGCTATGATAACTTCCAATCACTACATCTATTTTTGCGGAGAAAATGTTCAGGTTATACTATGTGTTGTAAAGTGATAAGCGATAGATTTTATTTGCGGAGATCGTAATGGAAGTTAAGATACCTCCGCCTGTTTACGCGGAAAATAGGTGAATTTTTCGCAATTTATTATTATTATGATTGAAGAGTTTGTTAAATCGCAGGGTTTGTTTGGAGAGGAGAAAGTGTAATATGTACACTAGTTAGGATTTTGAATAAGCAATTTATATTTTACTAAATAGTGCGGAAATTCCATTTTCGTCTTTGATAATGTATATTTGTATAAAATAAGGTTTTTGTATGATATTTTATTTGAGATTTGTCTGATGGATACGTCGTAAACAGTCCCAGCTATATTTTATTATTTCAGATTAATCTATTTATTTATTACTTATGGCGGCTGTCGGTTTTCCGGTAGTTAATTAAATAAATTTCAATTAGGAGAAAAATGATGAAAAATTTAATTAAACGAGTTTTCACTTTGACACTGTTTATTTTGTTTTTAACATTTCCTTTGCGCGCGACTGGGTGAAACTGTTGTCCGCGCGAGAACTGTAATTAAGACAGGAGATGGGCGTCGCCCCAATCTTCCACGCGGGTCTTTGTCGTACTGTGCCCGTTCCCAGGCGCTTCGAATTTTGTGACTTATAAGCGATAAAACAAGGAATATGGAGCTTGTCAGAAAGGACCCAAATTACGTCAATGCCACAGGCCAAAAATCCAAGCGCGACCACTAATTAAGGAGCGCATTGGCAAAGAGGAGACCCCAGAGAATTTTGGACGAGCCAATATCTTATGCATGTGCGAATTCTCTTCTCTCAACACCCACCACGAGGGAAATGAAGAAACTGCCTGCCTGTTTAAAGGCCATTCCTCCCTTGCTTTTTTTCTGTTTTTGAAATATAGCAGTTTTCAATTAGTACAATGATGGGGCTTGCCGTATGCATTTTTGATCTTTTTTTACTTGTGCATGCGCAACAGGAAACAGTTTAGCCAATCATTTTGGGATTTATAACATAATTCGAGAAAAAAAGTAAGCAGAATCAACGTTTAGCGTTTTAACAATTGATTCTCTCGTGCAAGGCTGCCTAGAGAAACTGAGAGCAATATCATTCCGCTGCTGCGTGACCAAACAACAAAACTACCACACGTTGCGGGAAAAACGAAAGAGAACATTTAAATCAAACTCAGTGAAAACATAAACTGTGCGTTTTTACATTTTTCCGGGGCCCGGTAACCCGGGGCCGAATGTTTTTTGGGGGCATTCCTAAATAAAAGTACTGTTCATAGTCTTGTTCGATTCCGCGTCGTCGTCAATCATCCTCATGTTGTAGAACAGCTTCTGAACTCTCCGACTATGTCACCCTACGTAGCTTCAATCCCCACAGCTGTGTCTGTACCTCTCTCTCCTCGCGCTCTCCCTGAGGCCTTTTCCAATTGTTTCCTGGAATGTAGCAAAGGGCAGGGAGGGTACAGAAACTAGACTTCCTAATGTCTCGATATTATCAATTTATTGGTGTTCGACGAAATTGTCGAGTTTCTCGACTTTTCTAAATCTGAGGATCGAAGATGGATTCGTGCAAGTGATTTAAAAAATGTTTTTCTGTCGATTCTTCCTGGTTTTGTATCTGCAATTTTTTTATTGACTATTTCCGTTAAATGTTCTCGGCCCGTACCCCCGGGGGTGCCGTCTAGTATAGAGTATTTATTTTTCGCCTATATTTCTTTCTTCTTCTAACAAGACTGAAATCCAAGTTTTCAATCTGTGGCACTGCCCTTGAATGGTTTCGTTCCTATCTTACAAACCGCACACAATTTACCTTAATCG